GGGTAGGTCAATTGGTTAAAAACAATGTTTTTGCAAAAATAAAAATACTATAATAATAAAAAAGCCTCTTTCTCAGACAAGGACAACAACGAAATACGTAAAAAACCTTTTACAAATGTAAACAAACAAACAGATAAACAACACGTAAGCTCAGCATGTAACGATGTAAACACAACAGATCTCGAATCTAAAGATGGACCTAGCTTCCAGACCAGTAGACCACAATCTACCCAAAGAGAAAATCAATCTGCTGGAAACAAACAGTAGTCAGAACTTTTCTCCAACCTAAAGGGGTAAAAGGTCATGTTTACAATTACCACATCTAAACAAAAAATTCTCACTAAAAATAAAAACACACTCATCTTCAACATTCAAGATCTGGTAAACATCTCCACAAATAATATTATCTTAGCCCTTGCAACCAAATTAGAAGGAGACCTAATAAAAGCAAAAACGCATATGCAAAGAGGAAAATGTACCTTTCTAGAAGCTGTCTTTGTTAACAAAGATAAACAAAAGCTTTATGCATCATAAGGAATAAGCATTTTTAACCAAACCTTGTTTGATTACATTCCAATAAATCTCAAATGCTCTTTCCTTTCAGTAAAGCTAAGAAACATGCCAATAGGAGAAAATGAACATATTAATGAATTAGTCAAAACAGCATTTCAAAATATAGGCACTATTGTATCGATCAAACCACTCATATTTGAAGGAACATCAGTATGCTCAGATTAATAGATCATTACCTTTAAAACTACAGAGGACCCTGATCTAGCTCAAAGACTTCCAAGATACACACACGTGGGTGACTATAAAGTCTCAACAAACTGGAAAGAAGCCCTAAAAGTATGCTATTACTGTGAACAAACAGGACATATCAAGAAAGACTGTAAAGATCTTAAGACCTCAATCGAATTCAGACAAAGACTGAAAGAGTATAAAAAACAAAGAGAACTCAAGACCAAGAGCCAGAGCTAAGATAAACCCAAAGCACAAATGCAATTCAGTTCAGAAAACCCTTATGTTTCAGATATAGTTCTAGAAAGTACTGATAAAAGCTCTACAGAAATACAAGAAATACTACAACCAGTAATAGAGACAACTATGGCAGAGACAATCCAGACAGGAGAATTCAATCCTACAGAAGCAATGGCAGAAACAAATGAGATGGAAACAACTGAAAACAAACCAGAAGCCATAAATATATCTACAAATGATGATTTAGCAACAGATATAGAAACAGATTTTATATCCCACAAGGAAATAAACAACAATGCCGAAAAAAATTTACTCTAGTTATTTCAAGAAAAGGAAAATATAAAAACAAGACCAAAAAAGAAGGCTACTCTCCATTTACTAGAGTCAACAAAGCAGACAAGAAAAACAACCCTCAAAGGGCTTCTTTACCTCGTGTTTAACTAATAGAACAACTACAAGTGTGGCTTAACATACATTGATTATTTTATGATCAAGATTGCCACACTGAATGTAAAAGGCCTTAACAACAACATAAAGGCCCAAAAAACATTAACTTTACTAAAATCCTACAAATTAGACT